TCCTCTGCCCGCCGCCCCGCCCGGCCCATGCCGGCAGCGACGAGGGCGTGCCTCGTCTCCTCTCCTCTCTCTCCAGACCTCCGCTCGTACCTCTGCTCGTGCTCAGCCGTCCTCAACGCCTCCTGCATTTGTGCACTCGACAACATGGGGTGAAACAGGACACGCTCTTTAATTCTCTCGAACTCTGGCAAAAAACCCCGAGCGATGTGCTTGCACATGGACACCTCAGCACGATTATCACCGTATGACACCAGTCTCATCCAAAGCGCCTTAGCTCTACCGAAGTAGTCCATCAAACTTTTTCCATTCCTCTGACACAGCACATTCCACTGATCATCAAACGTCTGCCTCTCCTCGTTTTTACTGCGTCGGTAGTAATCCAAGAACATTTTGTACCCTGCTTGCGGGCTCTCCGCTGCGAGCAATTGCCCGTGAATAGATTGTGCCGTGATCTTCGACAGCATGAAATTCCATACCTTCCTAGACTGCTTTACTCTCTCCTCACCAAACGAACGTTTCAGCCAGTCCACATTCACTTGAGCTGCAGCTACAGGAATCTCTGGGCCTCTCATTGCGTCAACCACTCCCTCGTTCTCTATCCATGCTTCAAACGCACTCGTGAAAACCCGCAACGCAACCTCCATCGATGGAGTTTTTGAGGAAATCATCACTCCAAACAGGGACCTCGACTTTCTCCCGCTGTTTCAACTCTACGGTCTGGGCGCTTGACGTTCCTGAATGGGCACGATGCCCCTGGTCCTGGGAGTTTGCCGTGAAAGCATGCTTGAGAAGGTCGACCAGCTGACGCATCGAGTCTTGCTGACCTCCCCCCGCCGCCGCTCTCCCTCCCAGATTGTCTTGTTCTTCTGCACCGGCGGTGAACGAAGAGTTGGTTCCTCCATCGCCGATGCCTTCTCCCGGGGAAGGGTCACCATGACCTTGTCCCCCCGGAGGCTGTCGTCCGTCTCCATCCGGCATCTTGCGCGCGTAGACACAGCGGCCACTCTCTTGATCGAACCGCTAGCGTGTTGAGTAGCTTTGTGTGTGGGTGCCTCGGCGCGGGGTCCCGTGACGGGAAACAAAAGGTGCCAGCAGCTGGGTGCTGCCAACGGTAATAATGTAGAAACTATCCGCGGGCGTGAAAGCCCTCCTACGTGGTGGAGCGTGGAAGCTCGTGTATAATATAGTTGTGGCGTGGAAGCCGGGTGGCGTGGAAGAACTGATGTAACGGTACATGTAGGGACGTGGGAGTCCTGAAGGCGTGGAAGCCGGGTTGGCGTGATAGCCGGAGTATGGGCGTGGAAGCCGGGGTTGGCGTGAGAGCCGGAAAAAAGGACTTGATTATACACAGAAAAAGGAAGTGAGGAACCACAAGCCACGCACACAAATTCCGTTGTAGACACCCATACCCTCAAACCTGCAATATGTGATAAAGTTGGTACCACCAAATCTAATCCATAGCAACTATTGAACCCCCAATCTCCCCACTCCATCTGCTCGGAAAATTCTTGCTCGCAATAATCTGTTGATTCTGTGAGTATATCCAACACAAGCGTCGTATGCACACGCGCTGTGGTTCACCAGCGCAGGGCGGTGTGTAGATAGGTATGTACTTACGAAGTAGCAGGCACGCCTCTTTTCTGTTCTCTGCTGACCTCTTTGTAAATACATACCATGATACAGTGGGACGTCATGGAAACCATCAGGCGGTACATCAGGGTGTTGAGGTATACTGCTGTAACGTCGTCGAACACAAAGGTTGACGTTGGTGGCCGGAGCATGGGGTTGCGGAAACCACCCTCTTCGTGCGCGGATGTGGCCCGGAGGTGTCGATGACGTACATGTAGGTGTCGATGACGTACATGTAGATTTAAGGAATAATAAAAACACATTCGAAGACTTAAGACTTATGAGGATATCGTAGGTTTTCGCGGCTTGTCCTCTGCCGGTACGTTGGCCGCACACTGGAGCAGACCAAAATGTCGTCATTTCCGTCGTGTTTCACGAACGAGAGGCCGTCCTACTACATTCCTGTTTTGAGGGTGCAGCTGTGATGGTGTTGGTTCTCGGATTCCTGTGCGCAAAGCTTGTGGTTTGCGTCGCAAGAGGGTCTAGAGACGGGGGGCACACTGTCATTGAACTCGCGTGATGTACGCATAACACTCCTGCTAGTGCCAGCATCAGCTGTTGTTGTACATGCTGTACTGAACGCTTCTATGATATACCAGACGGTGGCAGTCATGTGTTGTGTCTTTACTGCTGCACGCGTTGGCGTACATAGCACTCACTCCACAGGGGTGCCTTTGTCCGATGGCATTCTGACTATAGTCCATGTTTCTGTGCGGTGCTTTGTTTATCTCTTGATCAATAACCGCCGTCTGTTTTGCAACGTATCGTCATGTCTCAGAACCTCTTGCGGCGGCGCTGGAGGTATGATATGGCCCTGGAAGAATCCTCAAGGAATTCTCGTGTCGCCCGTGGAGAAACGCCACTACCGATGGCTGCTCTTGCCAAACGGTCTGCAGGTCCGGGTGCTTGATCTTATTTTTCGGACCGTTTCTACTATACAGTATACCCGCGGTGTTTGTTGCTGATCGGATGTCAGCCGCTTGTAGCTACTTGTGGTTGTGATTTTATTGCACTATTATCAGACATGGCTATTGTCAATGCCCAGACTTAGCTAAGCCCCCGCTGATGTAGATACTTTTGTGTGTGGCGGCGCAAGTGCTAACCCCCTGTTCCCCGAGGCCTGGACCATGACGAACACTCAGCACTATCCCGGCAGTCTGATACATTAGTTCCTCGTCGGCAGGAGCTCCATCAAACAACAGGGTTTGGCTATTGACGCAATTGGACCCAACTCAAAGAAGCAACCGCAATATGTGGGCCTATACACGAGCAGGTGATGGTCATCAGCGACCCGAACGCCAACAAAGCTGCAGCGGCGATGTCGGTGGACGTAGGAGCAGCACCAGACCCCGTGGGCCTTCCTGGCCTAGCGCACTTCCTCGAACACATGGCTTTTCTCGGTGAGCGAACATACATAGTACACTGGCGGAGTCTGAGGCTCCGAAACTATAGTAGATATTAGCGTCAGCTGAGCGGCTGCCACTCGAAATCCTGGCACACAATCAGCTACGCTGTAACCCGGGCGCCAGCCACGGCCAGGAAGTGACGCCGGGGAGTGAGTTTTTTGTGATGGCCGAATTCTCGTAATAGTTAGCTACTAGCTTGTTTAGCAGCAATTAGTGAGCGTGTTCGTTTTTTTAGACGGGTGTCGTTCCATGGTGTCGATCGGTGACTGGGTTGCTGCTGCTGCTGCTGTAGGGCCGGAGAGTGGGGAAGTTTTCGTATCTTTGCGGCCTTTTCTCCCGTGAAATCTGAATGCGAACCGCGGGCATTCCGCCGTGTGAGCCCACGCTGAACCTCAGTGAGTGCTCTGCATTCAGTGAGCGACGAGGAGAGACCAGGGATGGACGTGTGCCGTGAACGCCTCCATGGGTTGGATGATGAGTTGGCGCGGGTGGGATGAAGTATGGCGTGCACGAAAGAAACGCCCCGCGCGACGAGCAGTTACAGTAGCACGTGACCAAGAACCTCATCAAGTCCAGAACGTTGTAACCCGCACTGCTGTCCTGTTGGTGTTGTCTTCAAGTTTATACTGACCGAGATTGTGTCATCGAGGGCACCCGAGAGATTGGGTGAGGTTTCCATTCAGTCTGCTTGAAGTTTTCTTGTACCCGTACAGATCATATGTAAAGGGCACTGATAGGTTCGGAGAATTTGAACGACCTCAAGGCGGCAGAGAGAGGAGGGAAGGTAGTTGATCGTCCCTTATCTTTTTTTGTCGCGTCCACGCGTGGAACTGCAGGTACATCCAAGTACCCCCTCGAAAACGCGTACAAGTCGTACCTGGCGAAGCATGGGGATAGGTCGAACGCGTCGGCGGCCCGAAGGGACATAAGGCTCTCGCGGGGGAGTCGGTGGCGGCAACTGCGACGACCAGCATCAGCTCCACGACGACTGCCGACAAGCCTATCAAGCGGCGCAAGACCGCAAAGGAGCCGTCGAAGAAGCAACCTTCCGCTACCTGCTGCTCCTTCTACGAACACCGTGTGGCATCACCAGCGGCAGCAATCTTCGCCGCTCAGGACCGTCGTCCCTCCCGGCAAGTCGGAGCCCATCACACCGGCTGATCTCGCACCCTCTCCGACCTCGCGGTGGCACCCGCGTCGCCTTCGTTGTCGAAGAGGCAGCACCCGGCCGCACCCGGCCGCCGACACCCAAGCCAGCAGGTGGCGAGGAAGGAGCCCCGCCCTCGCCACCACCGGAAGGACGAAGGTGGGAAGAAGATCCCTGCAGTAAAGAGCCCCGCCCCGGCAGCAGCAGCAGCCACAGCCGTTGTTTCCCCGTCCAACGGCACCGCCACCAGTCGCTTCGCACGCCAGCAGCCAGTGGCACCGGCTCTGCCTGCTCAATTCCCCTCCCTAGCGCGATCCAAACGATCAGCGGCGGAGGAGACCGCTGGGGCGAAGTTCGCGGCGCACCCGCGGATGGTGGTGCCGCGTCGCGGGAGCTCCGTGTCAGCTCCGGGCTCGGAATCCAGCGTCGACGGCAGCTCGTCTTCGCTGAGCTGGGACGACGATCGGGCGGAAGGCTGGGCAGCGGCTGGGGTTGCGAGCGACGACCGCTCACACGGCGGTTTTGATTGGCTCCCGCCCAAGAGAACGCGACGCCCTTGAACGATTCGCCCAAGGCGCTGGAGGCGATACTGTTGGCCGGCAACCAAGAGCCGGTGTTAACGACCGACCAAACCGCTACCACCGCAGCTCCCCGTCCGGCAGGCAGGTTTGCGGGTCAGCCGCCGCCGTCGGCGGCACTGGCGCCGCAAGAGCCGGTGGTGCTCCAGGTGCTCCCAAGCACGCCTCTTCCCCGAGTGTGGTGTTCGCCCAACGCAGCCCGGGTGCCGGCGGCGGCTACGGCAGCGGCGGCGAAAGCAGCGGCGGTTTGCCACCCTCGGCAAAAATCAGCGACGACGTCGAACCCATCTTCGTCAACGTGCTCCCCGGAGCAAGCGGCAGCAGCAGCAGCGGCGGCGGCGGCGAAATGCTCCAGAACTATCTCGGAGGAATAAGCGATTCGAAGGCCGCCGACTGCGGGGACGGCGCGTGCAGCCCTATCTCGGCATGGACACCGGAGGCGGTCGTGAACAGCGCTTCGATGCTCCTCGCTGTGCTCTCCGACGCATACTTCTGCAGCAGTATCCTATAGAAGCCGAAATCAAACCATTAGACTAGTCAGCGGCAGCGATATTCTGACGGGTGGCAACGGTTGGGGGGGCGAGCGCAGGCAGCACCAGCACCAGCACCAGCGGCTCGCCCTCGCCCCGCCTGATATCCGTAGCTTGGTCAAAGAGCTGTCAACGCCGTCGGATGGAGGCGGGGCGACTGCACGGGGGGGGAAGGGGTCCAAGAGGTACCCCGCCGTACGTTGTAGGCTACCGAACGAGTGGAGGCGGGGGGTCGCCTTCTTTCCACGTCTGTCCTCTGGAAGCTCCATGACTACAAGAGCGGGTATTGGTCAACCTCCAGTGGCTTTGCTTTCGAGATCCAGCTCTAGTACGCGGACGGATGCGGCTTCCTACCAGCAAACCGGTTAGCAGATGATGTGTTGTAGACGAACCGGTGGATGAGGTGCATTTTGGGGGTTTGTTGTTTTCTCGCTCAATCAAGAATGGTCAGTAATGATGACTGACGATGGTGTTGTCGAGTTTCTCTGTTTGAGCAAGTGAGACTTACTTGTATTTTTCCTGTTTTGTTTTCTCCCTTTCACTCTCTGCCTGGCCTACATTGATTGTTGATTCGTAGCTACTGTTAGCTAGCTGTGGATCACCGCATGTATGTGAACATGCAATATGCGACCGGTGGTTGAGTGCGTTTCAGTGTCTTCAACAAAGGAACAAGCGAGCTTTTCCGAACGATGGGTTGGGGACGGCTCTTTGGTTGTGGGATGTGACGGAATTCCGCAGTCGATTGTGTGTGTGAATAAATAGTGTTGGGGACAATCCTTAGAAGTGGACTTACGCGGAGTATCAAACCGTCGCTTTGGGATCATCGATGGGTGGGTGCCAAGACCCGTTTTTGAGCTACTTACTAGGCCAGTTATTACGGCGTTTTTTCCTCTCTGCCTTGCTTGGTTCTTTTTCAATGTCTGCCTCTGTGAAGAAAACTCATCATGTGTCTGCAGCTGTCGAGATAGAAACAGTGCAGACAGATTTGATCACGCGGGAGGTAGAGCATGTAGTCTACAGTAGTAATCTTTTTGTTCGTGAGACTTAAAACAACGAACACCATTATCTTGGATGGATGTTGAAAGGTCTGTAAGAGCTAGCTCCGATGACGCGACACAGAGTGGACTAAAGTGGTATGCATAGCTGCAGTATCGACCAAGAAACAGATAATGAGTGTGTGTGATGACGCCAACGAATCCGTTTTTTCTTGAATCGGATCGCCCCCCCTCACCTCCGAATGTCGTGTCGTTTGACTTGTAGACTACACCATATATATATGCATCTCAAGGGATAAGACACGGCGAAGTTAAAGGTGGGTAGGTAGAACCTACCGGTGGCGAGACCGCACAAGAACCTTCCTCTTCGATGGCAAAGTTGAGATACTATTTCTTCTCTTGCAAATAAATGTCGATCCGCAAAAAAAACAATCAACTAAACGCCCCAAACCTTTGTACCTGACATTGGCTCGGCACTTAACTCTCACCATCTGCGCTCTTGCGTCCAACCGCGTTCGCATGCACACCAAAGCATCTCTGTAGCACAAACCCTAACACATAATAACACGTCGCAGTTTTTTTTTCCGACCATGCGGGTACAGCGGCGGTGACGCGTAAAGTAAATTAAACTTGTATAGCTGCACACGCTATTTAGGTACACAACAACGAACAAAATAATTGGAGCTTCCACAACAACAGTAGAAACAGCACCAGCGCAGCAACGCCCACTCCAAGCCCAGACGCTGCTGCTCTGCTGCTGCTGCTGCTGCTGCCGCTGGAAACGCTACATCACTTACTCGATGTCGTGGTCAATAGTCACTGAAAGGAATTCCACCCTCGCCCGCAAACACAGAGAGAGCTGTTGTGGTGTACTACTAATTTTGTTCCCTCCGGCTGCAGTCCCTCTCTCACACATTCTCCTCCCTCTCTACACAAAATCGGCACAACACAAATAAATGCCTGTCACATGCGCATTACATCCGCACACCCACACAAGAAACGTGAGCATACACGTACATCACACCAGAACCCCGTTTTCCCCTCTCTTCAACGTCCTGTTATTTAACGTTGAAACATCTTCCCGCGGCACGATGGCGAGCGGCAATTGCAATCCGGCTCTTCTTTGTCGGAGCTCTGGCTGTGGAGGGCGGGGTAGGAGAAACAAACCTCCTCGCCCTCCGCGGTGTCACGCGAAGTGCAGAACCACACGATCTTGTACATGAGATCCCCCTTCTGGCATACCATCTGTGTTCAAGTGTTCAACAAAAGGGTGGGTGCGAAAACAAGGCGTTCGGGTAGGTTACAAAAGACGAGAGAGGCGTGTGCACCAGTCGCGCCTTGTGTAGGGGAAAAGGGGTGTTCGTGTTTGTTTCTTGCACCCTCCGCGCCAACCGGCCGACCCCTGAACATAGACAGCAGTGTTTCGCGCAATTAAAGTCCCCCGGAACGGCGCCGTGCTTATGTAATCTCCTTGGTGGGGGGCATCAACCGCGTTTACGGGCTGACCCTCCCTTGTGGAATCACCCAGTGGACTCCCAACACGTTCACATAATGCTCCCGGAACACTCGACACCGCATCACCCATCCCATCTAGCTGACTGATAATAGATATCCATTCAGTCTATCTGTACTGTTGGAAGCGTTGTACGCTGCTCACCGTTTGAAGGTAGGCGTTAGGCTCGCACGAATGGTTAAAAAAACGAGCGGGGTACCCGTGCCTCATTACGTCCACGTACAAGGGGTCCTCCCCAGGGTCCCCCCCAACTTTAACGATGCTTCTCTGCGGCAGCGATGAGATCGGGGGAGTCCGGGAAAGGGAAATAAATGGTGGTGCTGGCGGGGCGGGAGCGGAGAGAGGGGGTGGAAGGCTGACTGAAGAATCGGTGTACCCCAATCGACCCGATTTGAACAAAACCACCATGACGTTAGGTATTGTTGCTGCTGCCGCTGTCGACGTGCGCAGCATGTGTTTGGCAGCAAAGCGAGGTAGTAGTGACAAGGGCAAATAACACCTCTACTTCAACCCTGCTTGGACTTGAAAGTGTTTGAATACGGGGGTTGCCGCGTTACTCTCGTTCTACACACGTGCTTTCTAGAGCACGGACGGGGCTTGCTTTCGAGACGCCAGGCGAGGTGTACGCGTAGCACGCACTGTTGTTCCAATAAACACACCATGCGCGCAAAAGCTTTTGCGCGTATGTACACACGTCCACCACTGGGTAGAGCAGCCACGTACATAAGTTGGGTGACAGCGCATCTCGCAAACGAAGCACCCGCGTCCGCAGAACACGTTTGTTCCACTTCCATCTCTTTTTTTTGCTATGCAGAAAAGAAGCCATGCGCTGGAGAGAGAAACAACTCTAGCCCTCAGACTCACATAAAACCCCACGTCCCTGTAATGATCTGCCCGCTGCTGGGCCTCGGCAGAGTCGATGCCTTCTCCGTAGAAGTCTGAGATCAAAGTGTCGGCCGGGATCGCCTCATCGGCGAAAACACCGTGTCCCTGTGATTACCAACATTTCCACGAAAATTACGAGAGGCACGGGTGAGGCGGCGTGTGTGTTGCAGCGTTTCTTTCTGCATTAGGAATTTTTCAACATTAACATGGGTTTCACACGAAAAACTCCGAGGTCACACGCGAACCACAAAAAGGCACGCCTTGATTTCAGGCAGAGGCCGAGAGAGAGAGAGAGCCAGAGCAAATCATGAAAAAAAACTTTTAGGCATACTGTAAAACGAAAAACCTTGCAGGTGTTTGCATTGGTGCTATTTATTGTACACCGCGAAATGAAATAAGTGCCTCGTACTTGCAGCAAGAATAACGACGAGCATTGAAAACGAACATACACAACCAACAGACAGGTGTATAACCCGCGGCTTCCGAAGAGAAGAGACCAGACCCGTGACCAAACTGGCGAACACAAAGCCAAGCAAAGACGTTTGTGCGCCTCATATCTAAGATATCTCTCTCTTCTCTTCCTCGCACCTGCACCTCCGACTTCCCCATGCGCAGGCAGAGCCGCGACGCCAGGTAGACTCCTGTCACGTAAATACCGCACAACTTAAACCCGTTGTCTGCCATTCTGCTAAATCTGCTGTCCGCCGTTTCGTCGTTGCTGCTCTCCCGCGTGTCCCTCGCCATCCTCAGCACCGTGGACACCCGAAGCATCTTGTCCCTCCCAAGGGGGGAGTGGGGCCCGCCTTCCATCTGATTGTGATGGAGAGGGGATGGTGGCACCGAGCTACAAGACTTTCAGAAATGTTGTGGAATAATTCGACCCATACGCGTACCACGTGCTGATTCAACTTTGCGACGGCGGCCCTCTCACAGCCTCAATTAGCTCTGGCTCCCCGCCAGTAATCCAACTCATTCATCTCTCCAACACCACACGCGCTATTGTACAAATACAGTTTGATACAGGTGAGTGAATACTCCAGATCATCAGCCGCTTGAGCTATGTAGTGGTACCATGCTCACAGCAACAAAAACCTACCGGCTCGCCGCCAGACGAAAAGGGAAGGAAGTCTTCCCCCAGAACGGCCGAGTGCAGGGCCACCACTTGCCTGGTGCGGGCGGGCGCACAAGAGGGGGGGGGGGGGGGGAGGTCCCGTTGAGGAATTTTCAGTGAGGCCGCAGCGGGATAGTGTGGACGACATACGCCGCTATCTATAAGGCTGCTTCCGCTGAGGCGCCTACTCATTCCTACTGTGGACAGCAGCGCTTTTTAAATAACAAAATTCTGCGTAAGGCACGAGTATCTCCATCCTTAATCAATACCAACACATTGCTCACGATTGCAACCAGCAGCCCCCACAAATGTTTCACTCACACTGACGCAAAAAAAAAAAACTTGCCGTCGCTGCTACTCACGTCATGGCCTCCACGTAGCGACCGTTCTCCGTCGGTGGCCTCTCCCGTAGAGTGATCCCGCCATCCTTCAGGCCACGGGTGATCCGCGCTCTGTGCCGGCGGTCGGCCTAGTGTTGTCGGTCAGGCGGCCAAGCGTCGGAGGAGGGCGGCGGGGTGTTCCAAGACGTCAAAATTCTTGATAGAATCAAAACAAAACAATGTCAACTCTTCGTCGACAGAGAACACATCCGAACAAAACACACAAAGAAAGGCAAACAGAGAATTACCCAAAACACACACACGCAAATGCCATAAACCCTCTTTTGGAACTCGGAGGTATTGGCCCACTTGTTGTCTATTTCCACCCAGCAGGGTCATTTCTTTATCGCCGTTCATAATCCCCTTCGAACGTGGTATATACTCTCAACCGGGTGCCGTGGTCTTTCTTCGATCGCAGATATACTTTCTACAAGACTTAACAAGAGAACAAACACATTTTCAAATCAGACCAATTTCGGCCGCTGCCGTCGGCGAGTGAAGAGGTTCCAGGGGCGTTTTTCTAGCCGAGGGGGCGACGGTGGCCAAACTGAACATCTACTTCTACAACCCAAGCCACTCCGAATGCAGCGCGGAAAATAGCATACAGGTTTGTCTGGTACAGGTCTTACCTCACTCCCAGAACCCCGCCGGGCTCCGGACTTCTGCCTCTGAGAGGTGCCGCTCGGCGGGAAACTGCTCCCTGCAACTTGTCGTCCGGCAACGGCGGCGTACACGCTAGAGGATTCTCTGTAGCCGTGGGAAAAATTCGGGGGGAACGTGAGCGTTTGGTACAACGAGTGCCAGCTGCCTGCGTGCTGCTCATCCCAAGGAAACTTGTAGTATAGGAGTGTGTGCCCGGGCCATCAAATACAGTCCGACATCTAAGAGCAGTGTCCTGTACCAGCAGGAACTTTCTTTCTTTCCAAACACCCCCCGTTCTTTGGGGTGTGTGCCTCTGAACACACTTGATTTCTTACTTTCGTCGTTTCTTGGCCTTCCAAGAGAATCCACGCGGAGGTCTTGCATAGACATGAACATACAACAACAGCACCATCACCGACAACAACAACGACGAAAAAAGTGCTAGCATTGAAGATGAAGGCAATGCGCCGCACCGCAAAAGTCGGTGTGGAGTGGAATCAAGAGCGCGAATGGTTGAAGAGGGGATAGAACCCGTGAGCGCCATGTCAAGGGTTTCATGAACAATTGGAAAGCAACCCCAGAGCTTTGCATGACTCACCCCCAGAAAGCAAAAGAAAGTCTTCCAGTCCTTGTATTGAACATGTGGCCGTGTGCGCCCGGCTTCCGTGAAGCAACCAGGCCGATAGGCACACACGCCTTGTTCTCGCATGGCCGAAACACGACCACGCTTGACGCACTGCAACCAGTGTCAACAGGTGCAGGGGTGCATGGAGGCGTGGGCGGGGGGGGGCAAGGGTCACAGCTCGTTTGTAACAACGACCATGAGCAAGAACACTACATTCATCTCAGAATGGGTCAACACAGGTCTTCAGCAGGGGCACGACATCACTACGATAGGATGTCCCACGTTCCGAAACCGAAAGCAGATGGAAAAAAACAGAAAAGATATATGCAGAAGAGTCATCAGAAGCGATAGCCAAAACACTTGAACGTTCATCATGTTTGCGGATGCCAGAAATAGCGAACGCCAATTTATCCGGAGCATAAATGCCGGCGTGCTGCATTTCGCGCACTGCCGCTTCACTGGCCTAACGTTAGGAGTTATTTTCTACAAGCAGAGAAACACGACAACCAACCCAGCTGTGATTAAACATTGCAACGAGAAGGCCACAAGTTCCACGTCATGAAACGATGGGCGAACCGAGTTCATCGCACAGTCCAACACAGCATGGGTAACCGCCGACGACACGCAGAGCGTCAGGCCTTATTTGCATAACCTCTGTTAGACGCGATGTCAGCAGTTTGGTTGCGATGGCGAGCTTCCCCTAAATAGCATTACACTAAACAAACAGAACACTTGGACGTTTGTAAGGAAAAAGAAATCACACAGCAACTTGGGGCAACTGGGTGATGTGGGCACCGAAGCACACATCACAGGGACAGGTCAAACGCCCCAAAAACTTTGCCACGAGGGGTACGGTGTACATTTGAAGAACACTCCACCCCATGACACATTACACAACCAATACAAGGCTCTCCTTGTTTGCGGATACCATAGTCATAGCGAACACCCGTTTAATGGGAGCATAAATGCCGGCGTGCTCCGCACTGCCGCTTCATTGGCACGTACGTTAAGAGTTATTTTCTATGAGCAGAGAAACACGACAACCGACCCAGCTGTGATTAAACAGTGCAACAAGGAGGCCACACGTTCCACCTCATGAAACAATGGGCGAACCCAGTTCATCGCAAAGTCCAACACAGCGTGGTAACCGCCGACGAGACGCAACCGGTCAAAAGATATATTCACATGACCTAAGTTAATCGACGTCAGCAGTTTTGGTTGCAATGGCGAGCTTCCCCGAAATGGCATCACACTAAAAAAAGGAACATGCGTGAAAGGTCAAACAAACAGCACAGCGACATACAGCAACACAGAGACACAAGCGCTTGACTAGCGCACTACATGTACACTTTGGTGAGTGGCTTACACTAGCAGCGCCACGCTCAACACGACCAGACGCCATGGTTAGTGGACAGGGTCCGAGCTACGAAATGCTCGCACGCCCACTCATGTTGGTTGGAAGGGCAACAACACTATAATAGACTAACCAGCGAGGCACAGAGAGCGTCTTTTGGTCATGCTAGACTACAAAGAGTTGGCTAGTCTAGCGAGGTTGATCCTCTTGACGGATATAAGATCCTCAGTCAGTGCTGACCGCTGTTTCAGTCTCCTGGGATGACCGTTCGAACAAACAACCATCGCCGATGACGTACAGTGCCGCCGACCGATCCAACACACCCCACCCACCTAGAGGGATGATTCAGATCATCATCTAGAGATGATTCAGATCATCATCTAGAGCCGTGATAAACGGCACGGGGGGGCGATTGTCGGAGACTAACGTTGGAACACAAGAAAAAAAACTGCTGTAGGATGGGTCATGATGTACTCTCCGCTGCTTTGGGTGTATGCAATCTCTCAACCTGCCGCTAGGGGGATCGCTACCGCCCTTCAAACATCGTAAACTGACCAAGGACAGAGTCCCCCAAAACAAATCAATACGGGGACGGCGTGGTGCAAGAACCCACCACCCCGCTCTACACATAATGTACATCCCCAAACACGGCCCTACCTTGTGAGAGTACCTACCACAGGCAACGCTTGATAACAGTCGGGAGCATGAACACCAGCGAGCGCAAGGAATTGCGACAATCCGGACTGCCGCAACGCTAGCACGAAACGGCGAGGATTTATTCCTATGCAGTGAAGATAAGCACAACCGCCCTAGCTGCTGCAACAAAGCAATGAGGAAGGAGGCCGCACGTGTAGTCTCAGGAGACGATAGGGGCCACCAACTCACCGCAAAGTCCAACACAGCAAGGGTATATCGCCGACGTGGTGTAGAGGGTAGGAGCATAATCACATCAGCAGATTTTGGTTGCAATCGCAAGCTTCTTCCCGTACAGGGGTTCACGCCAAAACAAACAGCGCACGAGATACATGCAAACACTACTATACATCAAACTTCGAAAACCTAAGCACATGGTTGGACAAGCGCAATTTACTATTCTGAGTCGCTCAGACTTGAGGTGTTGAAACTCGGATGTCATTGTTGCGATTCAGGATCATTTACTTTGTGTGCTACCCCAGGTACCCGATCTCTATAAAATGCGAGTCGCGTGAAATGTCCTACGTCGGGAATATTTCGGGGAAGGGTAAACAACACGTTAGGGCATACCCTGGTCGAAAACCGACTCAGCCGGATACGTACACTTCATGAGCGTGACATGAGCTTAGCTGATTGGTCTACGCCTACTTTCCACCTGCCGCATCACCAAACATCTCGGAGTACTCCCTGCTGTGGCCATTTTTCCCTGCAAAATGAGACCTGATTTCCGGCAATGTACCCGGCCCTGACGGGAAATGGGTCCCTTCCACTGGCCGTTTTCTCCTCAGAAATCAATCTCTGTTCCAACGAAAGGACACCAAAACACGAATATTCCAACTCCAAACAAAACCACCGTAACATCACCGAAACAGGTCTACGTATTCCTCATTTTCCCCAAACGTGTGAGATCTCACCCCCCAAGAATGCACCCCCCTACCTTAGCACCACTCCTGTTTCAGTCGACTTGTCAACCATGTTGTGTTCAATCATGGAAGAGTGTGTCTTGGATGTCGGATGCTATCATTTGCTTGGAGCTGGAAGGTTTATATTTTGGAGAGTGATTTCTGCGGAGAAAATAACCGACGGAAGACACCCATCTCCCGTCAGGGCTGGGTACACTTCCGAAAATCAGGAAAAAAAATGCAGGGAAAAGTAGCCGCGGCAAGGACAACTCCGGGCTATTTTGTGACGTGGAAGGTTCAAAGTGGGTGTCTACCAACCAGTTAGGTCATGCTGATGAAACGTGCGTACCCAGCCGCGTCGCTTTTTGACCAGGGAATACCCTCACGCGTCATTTACCCTTCGAGAAACGTTACCCACAGACACTAATGCCGCCCATGTTGCAACACTACCAATACCGTAGATAAATCAGCGATGATGACTTGCGTGTGGGCTATACTTTTTTAGTGCCAATTGCACAAAAAATGAAGTACAGCACGACACGACACAGCTAAAAAAAAATAATCTCGACGTGCGTAGGAGATGTGTCCATCTGTAGTGCCCTTGCCTTGATGCCCCTAAAGCCCCTGCTGCCCCGGAAGCCCCGGCAGCGGGGGGACTGGACATGGTTGTGGATGGCTCTGTCAAGAGTGGATGGAACCAAAGAGACAGGGAAACGGGATCACCGGGTCAAATGGAATATGCACCAGCGGAGACCGGAACGGTTCATTAATGTGAAGACAACAACAACAACAACAACAACAACAACAGACGCGATAAAGATTCGCATGCGTATCATCGATCAATTTCTGGGTGAACGAGTTAATCGTGCTTTAATTCCTGTTGCATTCGGCTGCGTTCGCTGCACAGGATGAACATACATACATCATCCGCCGGTGCACGGATCAGAGACAGCCAGGTGATGATGCATTCCAAACAAAAGAAAGCCAGTCAATCGTCAGCGCACACGTGCGTCACACAACACACACCACGGTGCTGTGTCACGCTACACAACCACGGCGGCCTAATGCTGCTGTGTACAAACAGCACACCAACGAGACGACTGCTAAACCCAATCAGTTCAAAAGGCAAACAAGGTGGTCTCTGGTGTGCCGGATATACATCGAGACAAGTAGATAATAGAAAAAAAAAGAAAACAGGTCACACACACAGCAAAAAAATATTCAAAAGGAGTTGAAAGGGGTCAACAAATAAATACTTCTTACTTGTAGGAAAAATACATACAAGCAAGCGCGAGGCGCGCGCACACATGCGTAACAGTAGCTAATAAACAGATAATATAATGTAACGTCAAAGTGCGGCGGAATAAGCTTCCGCCGGGCAGGTGGCAGAGGGGTGTCCCGCACCTCTTAGTGGCAGACTAAATAAATAGACACACAGCCACCCCGGCATCGGGGTGTCCATCCTATTGTAGATTGAACGGAGCTTCAATTCCAAAGTATTTATAAAACTATCTGCGGAAATTGATCGAGATCGATAAATTACAACTCATGTTTTCCGACGAGAAGAAGAGGTCTGTGGACAACATAGAGAATAATTCGTTGTATTTTTAGAGAGAGAAAAAAAAGAGTCATCACCATCCTGCGCGCGCCACTTGTACACAACAATAATTGCATCCGTCGAATAGCGGCGGAAAAAACTTACGCGCACAACGAATCCATCTTCAACAGAAAAATGTTTTCTATACCTTAAAACAGCGGTCAAACCTCTAGAGAGAACGTTTCGGACTCTTGACGACAAAAAGATCTCGACGAGACAACCTCTAGACGAGACGGTTCGAACGCCGCGGTCTTCGGCATCCACCACTCTCTTCGCTTTGGCGTAGTCGAGCTTTGAAAAAATGGTCCAGGAGGTTGTCTAACGTACATATGTACGGAAAATATCTTTGTCCGCAACGTACGTTAAATACCGTCTCATATCTGGTAGGTGACTGAGGCCCGCTGGGCAGGTGGGGGGATGGACCGGCTAGGGCGTGGATCGAGATATGCATAGGGAAAGGGGGCGAGCGCA